AAATAGCGGACGAAACTATGATTGGCGAGATTATAACGCGTACGGGGCATACAAGCTTCCCCCTTGATGGAATCGAGTTTTATTAATCGCACGACCAGCTAATAGCAGTTTGTCGTGCGTGGGGTATACCGGCCGGGGCGAGAATTTAAACCTATTAGCGTACGTAATTCCATTACGTTTCCTAGCCGGCTAAATTACGCACCACGCCGCACGCGGCGATCGGTGGGCGGTAATGGTTTAATAACGCTCGACCGTTTCCCGCTTCTTCGACGCGCGCCATTAGCGAACACGCGTCCCCACGGTGGATCGCCATTGCACGACATCGGCTCAAAACGCTTCCGTGCGACGGTATAAACAATATTGTGTTCGCAGCATGGCGTCCAGCTGCGTTTAGGCCGATCGGTGTAATCGACCGAGGGAAGCGCATCAGAATCCTTCGAGGGATCGATGACTGATCGTTACCTGTTCTCCCGTAATTACCGATCCTGGAAGTTATTTTATTACCATCCGATACACCGATGTACCTGAAATGTTCGACAGCTATCTCAGGAGAGATGACGTTAATCTGGCTGGTTGTAAGGAGCGCAAACAAATTCACAAACCTGACAGCAATATACAATAGTTCTCTTTTTATTAGAAAGTATTCATTAATCTTCAGAAGTCTAAACAGTATCCTACGTCATGCAGATACAATCCACTAGATCCTTTCGAAGGATATCTTAAGAAACGCTTAATTACCATCAGCAACCCGAAGGCGTGAGAACAATTAATTTTCAAAGAATCAGCAATTCTATAAGAAGGTATCAAACACGCGAGAAAGCAGGAGAAATACACTCGGGACACTTTCTATAACCATCGGATTAATGATTCGATAAGATACTCTTCCCTTTCCATTCACGGTAATCTCCAAGACAAGAGCCATTCGCGACAGGTGACAGATCGCGACCTGTCCCACCATAATTACCAATCCCGGTAGTACTTTATCGCCGTTCGAAATACCGGCACGCCTAAAATCCTCGTCCACCTCCCAACTGTGGCTGTCACAACAGCCAGAGCGACATTAGTAACGCCAATACAGAAGGAACATCGGCCTGAACCGGTGAGATAAGGGATCTACGGACCGCGCGTTCTCCTGGTGCTTCACCTTCCTCGCGGAACTGTATATGGAGTGGCGGCGGCCACGAATTCGTGGCACGCAGACGATGCCCGTTGCGTGAAAGCCGAGTCATGGGTGTACACCCGTCGATCACGATCGATAACACGCTCCGAAAGGATAGAAAGATTGCGTGTACGTGTGTGTGGCGCGGTTTCCACAGCGCCAAGGAACAAACACAGGTCCCCGAGTGGAGAAACAGCAGGAGCATTGTCCTGGTTCGTGGCAGCGAGTGGTAGTACGTGCCCTTCCGCGGTGTATGTAGGTATACCCTGGAGTTCCACGCGGGGGTTTCAAAGGAGCCGACCAAACGTCCTACGGCGACGCTGAATTTCGCCAAATAGGTATACGCGGCCACATAATGCCGCGGCATTACATTCAACGGTCCCGGGGAACCGGCTCGTTGATGCGAGGCCCAACTCGCGTGTTTCTTTTTTTCCGTTCGCTTTTCAGAACAGGGAAGACCGTCAACGCGAAGACTGGGCCCGATCGTGTTGTCCCTGTTTCGGTGCTCGACCTTTGACTTCCAGGTACCAACGTCGACCTGGGAACTTTCACTCTTTCCCGCCAGGAGCCGGCCAAGGCGACCTCACGAATTAGGAAAGGGAGACGATGTTCGCCGGCGGCCATCGTCTCTTCCGGGTACCTAGAAGGGACACCGACGCTAAGTGGAGGCATATCTGCCAGTGAAAAATTGAGAAATTTTTTTTTAAAGAGTGAGCTTTTTTATAGATTCTGCACACTGGTGGTGTAGAGTACACGGATGAAATATTATTTTTCCATTGTTAAAGATGAAACGAGTAGTATTCACCGCAAAAGTGCAACAAGTGGCCTATTAATTAGATATGCAAATATATGCGCGCTATCGAGAGCGAAACGTTGAATGATCCACGAAAAATCGTGATTCTTGCTTTCAATTTCCTCCAGTCAAACTTAAATTCCACCTCGTAAATCCACGGTAGAGCCTCGGGCGCGTATTAATAACGCTTGTCCATCGATAAGCCGAGGAATGGCCGTGTCCGGACGACAAAAATAGCCGTTGCGGATCGGGTTCCTTATCATCGGAGTCCGTCGATGATTTCGCGCCACGGATTTTTTAAGGTCCTCGGGGGCGAGTTCGATCGCAGCAGCGCGATAATCGGCGCGTCGCAAATTATCCGTGACCGTTTAACGACCAGCGAATTAATAAGGGGAATCTACCGGGTATGTGCCTGGCATCATCGAGCTTAGAGGGGGTCCGGAATAGCTGGGGCCTGGTTGAAGGAAAACGGACGCGAGTCGACGCGGTAGAAGGATGCAAACCGACAGTTAGGACAGGAACACGGTCGAGGAAAGGCCAAGCGTCGGTTTCGTCGTTGGAAAGAGCGTGGGGTTGGTGGGAGAGAGCGAACGTATACAGTGAAGAAAGAAATGGCGGAGAGCAACATACAGAGAGAAAGAGAAAGAGAGAAGAGGAACGAAAAGAACGAGCACGGCGAACGCGCCAGGACGAGGAGAAACAAGAAGAAACGGAAAGGATCTCGCAAAGCGAGCCACACACAAAACCCGAAGAGCCGGGCGAGCGAGAGACGAGGAGGACGAGAGGGACGAGAAAACCAGCCCAAGTCCAGGCCATCCCGACCACGAAAAGGTGTAGGGCGAACGTATATACAGGGTGTACCGTAAAATCGCGATCCGTCTCGATTTATCACGGGGTCCGAGACGTCGACACGACTGACTCTCCTTTCCTCTACTCCGTTCGAGGGAATTAATAACTGGTCGTTCCCCGAGATAGATCGTATTAGGAAGCAAGGGCTCTGTATTGCCGCGAAAATGATACACGTTTACGCGATACCCGTCGGATCGCCATTAGTCATCGGTGGTATCTTTTTAGGTGAAAAACGGCCGATTCGATGAGGCGGAAAACGAAACGATATTTCATTCCCGCTGGGGCCCCCGCGATAACCTGTCTTCGCCTAATTATTCATTCCACGGGGATCGAGAGTCATGTTCGATACCTATCTCGACGTGGCGAAACACCGATTATTCTAGGGGATTTTTAATCGCGCGTGTAACGTTCGAGTTGCTCATCTGGTTATCGGGTGTATGTGTGTATAATACCGGTCGTATCTCGAACGGCCGAAGATCGAGAAGGAGTAAGTAGATGCGCGAGCGTGTTCACGAGGAGCAAAATCGATTCGTTTATCGCGAATGTAGTCGGGGCTACGCTACTGCCTTAGAACAACGGCTCTTCATCGACGGATCACAGAGGGGATCGGGGTCCAGCACGGGGCCCGCGCTGGGGACCGCGGTTGTCTCCAAATAAACTAGAACGAGCCGCACGAAACGAAACCGCGGCAAAAAGAGAATTCTACCCGGCCGGACCGAGCACACCGCATACAAATGCATTGCTTAGTGCACCCCGGTCCAGGGTTAAACCGAAACGAGTGTGACTCTTGTGCGTTGCACGTCGCCGATTTGACGATTATAGTGCACTTCGGTGCACTTTGGTCAAAAGAGAGTAGAAAACATTAATTGGAGAACTGGGATCAACAACTAACTGGGTTTCGAGAAGTATTAATGCAATTCGACGGTATACTGAAAACTCAACGTTCAATCATGGTGCATGAAACAATTATATGTAAAAGACTAAAAGGCAATGCTGAGAGAATTTGATATTCTGTAAAAGATAAAGTTCTTCTAGGAGTATGTTTTTCATTTTTCGCAATCCACAATGGAATTATCTTACGAATTCTCTCATATACACTTAACACATTCAATTTAATCGGGCGAAAGAGTGCCTTGCACCCGGTGGCTTGTTTTTTATTACCTGTCACGATATTGCCCGACGCATTATCACTTTCCTCCTCGTTAGGAAGATAGCGTCTTCTTCCTTCACCCCGGTACACGCCGCCCCTTGCACCTGACGAGACCGTTGATTGGCCGAGTCGAAATTTCACGAGTGCTCCGCCGATAATGTGCTCGCTTTTGGGTTGCGAGAGGAGCTGGCTCGCGGAGCTCCCTCCCCCCGCCGGGCAAAAACGAGCGACAGGAAAAAAGCCGAAGAGATAACAGCGTGGGGGGTGAACCGGGTAGCCGAACGGTCCCCGGAGGGGGCTGCAGAACCGGAATTTTATACAGTGGCGTAACACGCTGGATAATACGCGGAGAATCACGAAACTCCTGGTCGAGGCTACTGCTCCTTGCCTCTATCCTCGTCTCTCTTGCAGATTCGTTTCGTCGCCCTTCTTCATCCCACCGATGAGTGGACTCTGCCTCGTTTTTTCTCGGACCGTTCCTCTCTCTCCCTCACCGACCATTCTGGCCGGGGTGGAGATCTCGTTGTCCGATTAGCCTTTCGACGAGGTGGACTGTCCTCTTATCACGAATGCCCAGGATTCGTTCTTTGCCGGTCAATTAAGTAACCTGCGTTACACGGCTAATTAATTTCACCGCAATTAATTAAGCCTCGTCTGGCTCGAATCGGCCGAAGACGGTACGTTCCCCTCGAGACCTGTCGGTAGTGTCTTGACCCCAGACGTACGATGAAAAAACAACGAGACCGCGAACTTTCGACCAATTATAAATTCTAAAAACTCGACGACCGTGGTTGAAGGGGGCAGAAAACTCGGTGCAGTTCACGGTGAAATTGCTCCGTCAACTGTGAGTATCCTTCGTCCGTCGCGAGTGACTCACGATGGTGGTGTCTCGTATTGTACACGGAGAACTTGCAAAAATTCCCCTATTGTGGCGCGGGCGATGGTACACGGTTGATTTTCCAAGACAATGCTTTGATAAAACGCGGGAACAAAGGACCGAACCGTACACGCGAAAGAATCATCGATAAGGAAGAACCGTCGTCGGGACAATGGGTAAGGCGAGACGTAGCCACGCGGTGGCGGCTCCTAGCGGCGATGGCCAGAGGTAACGATGACCTTGCCAAGGTCACCGCGTCCTAACTACTATAGACCCTTCCCTCGTTCTTTCTTCGTTCCTCTTTCGTGGTGCATGGCCCTTATTATTACAAAGCAGTTGCCCTGATTCACCCGAGGCCGTGTGCCATTCATTCGCCTCTCGTTCCTCTTCGTGGCCCCACCCCCCTCCCCCTCTTCGCCCTTTCCCCCATCATCGTCCTCCTTTTTCCTTCTCTTCACTTTTTGTCTCGTTACATGCACGGCCTTTCTTCATCGGCTCGCCGGCTTCGACACTGAAATCGAAACCGCCGGACCGAGGCCATTATTGCGTCTCTATTGTGCGTCGCTCTACCCAGGGACTCGGTGCCCCGCGCGATCCAGACCGCCTCATTTCCCTTTTTCCACTCTCCTTTCAGGCCCCGTTCTCCGCAGCTCGTTCTTACTCGTTAGCGCGCGCTACCAACCGTCCATGGTTTTTTTCCCCCTCCGTTGAAAATGCCCCTCGTGCTACTGGATTTTCGACGCGTTTCGGCCGTTCCCCCCTGCCACCTCTCAGTTTTTGTCGAATCCGTGGATGCACGAAGACCATCGACACTATAATTCAACCCAACGCGAAACGAAATACATTCGTCTTCTTCGGGGATAATCGAGGTTATCCGAGGATCATAGTCTTAGAGACCATAGAATCGATAGTCTGTGTACGATACGTAAAGTCACTTTGAACTCTGACATTTTGTAAAATTTTCTTATCTATCCAAGAAAATAGATGGATGACGATAACAAATATCAGGTCTACAAACAGTACTACGTATAGTTACGAAATAATTTGTAGGACCTTTCGCTGGTCAGAAGTTAGCTATGTTTTTGATCGTAGGAGGAGGTCAAATTTATCTTCAGGTAAATTTCATATCATTTTTTCCTGGGGGGAAGGAGGACAAAACCGTTTTCCTATCTAGGGTAAGGCAAAGGTCATATTTTTTCCTCCAGTGACCTCTGGCCTCCCTGGCTACGCCCATAATTATTTGTTTATATTTAATAAATTAATGAGAATGTAAACTATATCTGAGTATATATTCGTTTACGTATATTAAAACCACAGTATAATTGTTTTGTTCAGAAGCAAGAACGGAGATTCTTCCATGGTCCACGAGGTCCCGAATGGCGGCAGCGGTGGCGGAGGATTGGGAAAATGGCTTCGCGACCATTTAGGCGGCGGCTCGAAGAACGGCCAGGACACTTCTTCGCCGTTGAAGTCAAACGGGAGCCTCGTCGAAGGTTCTGGAGGCGAGAAGCCCCTCGCTAGAACTGTCCACGCCTCGCAAAATCTCTACTGCAGTCTGCCCAGAGAGCACGGCCGGCATTCTTACAATGGCGCTCGGAAGACCGGCCACGGGAATTCTCTGAAGCCCCAAGGTCACGATCGGCAACGATCTAACAGCGTGAACCATCACGAGAAGACCACCTTGAGCGACCTTGGAACATTGACGAGGGGCGGTCCGATCTACGGGAGCGAGGGGAAGTCCCTGAAGAAGCGGAATCGCGATCGTCGTAGGCACTCGTTGAACGAGACGCACGATCAGGGCCGGCAACGTCGCAGAAGGTGAGCGAAAATTCTTAATTAAATCCGTTAATGCGCTTGGGAAGGACCGAGTGGAAGACAACGATTTACCGTGGCCGACGCCAAACCACAGAGTCATCTCTCTGTTCACGGGGCGACCGCAGATACGCGGGGAGAGATTAATTTAATTTGTCGACGTCCTCGACGCGTCTAGCCCTTGTCTTTGTTCGTGTTTGAAGGGCAAGAGAAGGGAGGGATAGAATAATTGAAAACTTGCTCGTTTCTCGGACTCAACGAGACGTACAGCCTGTTCCTTGATGACGTGGGAAGCTCTCTGTACAGGTGGTAGTTACATCCGACAGGTGGATGGAGGGTTTGCTCTATAGGATAAACAATATCTCGAGTTCCTGATCGCGGGGACCGTTTCCATCCAAACGTGTCGCCCGTCATTCTGAATATTTCCCATGACTTAATAAAATTGATACATCAGCTTGCACGGTGTTTAGTACGGGAACGGGACTCTCCGTACACTCGACGTATAATTTCCTATTTCGTAATTAATTTCATGCGGCAATTACCTGTCGACGTTCTTTTTGTCACGCCGTGTCTGTCTACGGTTAAAGGGTTCCCTTGCACCAGGAAATCGTTCAGTCTTTCGAGGCACGGTTAGGCGACTCATCCTTTTTGTCGGCGCTGTCGCGAGTCGGTTCGCGGAAGCCGCTCGCGAGAGACGCGCCGTTTCCCTTCCCGATGATAAACAGCCCGAGCTCTAAAAAGGGAATTACGAAGCGTAGCCCGCGGCACGTTTAACACCCTTTCGCTGTAACACGACGGCGGTAAAAACGGGAGGAGTCGTTGCCCGCGAACGCGACTCTCCGATCGTCGCGTGGGGCCCTTAATACGGCGCGCTGCCTCTGCGGACATTGAATCGTCAACTGGGAAAATTGCGGTACTGTGCGTCGACGCGGTAGCGAGTCGCAAAACAACGCGTATGTATAGAGATCTAGGGTCGATCAATATTAACATTAATAAGGAAAATAATCGTATTTAAATCAAATTGAATGTTCAAAGTGATGAATTTCCGTAATAATACAGAAGTTATCTCAAAGTCATAATATTTCGTGTCGTTGAAGTCGTTTTGACATCAGTTACAACGATATGAAGCGATGATACAATTTTAAAAAGACGTTGATGACTGTCAAACAAGTGAAAAAATGACGCCAAACAATTTTGTTTTTACCACTATCTTTGACCCCCTTGAACATCTCAAAATCTTGATTCTCAAAAAAGATATTTAAGTGTTCCCTTTCTCGTGACTAACCCTGAACAGTATAAACTTCGTTCACATTATTGTAGATAGAACATGGACTATACTGTAATAGAGATTTGCAATAAGACAGATAATAGAATTATGAGTGTAAAACTTCGTTGACCATCCCTTTCTTTGTCGGTTCACCCCGGCAAGAAAACGAACGAAAGGAATTTCATTGTACTACAAATTGACGTACTTTCGTTGAGCATCAGTCAGCCAGATTGTTTCTCCGCGGCTAGGCCAGGTGCCGAGTCACTGGCCGCAGAAATGCCAATGCGTGTACACACGGCGTTACGACGTCGGGGCCTTTTAATGCCAATTCATTCAATGAAATTATAAAACGCGGGGCCGCGGCTAGCCGTGCACCTTTTCATTTTGCACGATGGCTGGCTGGCTGGCTGGCGGTGCTCGGAACACGCAGAATCCGCTACGACGGTATTGTACAATATACATTCCTATCGGAAGAATTCACCGCGGGGTGTAACCACGATTTTTAGGTCCCCTCATGCTCGCTGCGCCAGCTTTTCGACGACTTCCTCGAGAGGAAACGCTGAGCTGTGATGCTTTCGATTTCAACGTGTACGATTTTAATTTATCGTGTGAGACGGAGTATGGCCCATTAAAATAAAAGTACACAAGCCTCCAAGTGCATTCTGCCCGACCTTTCAACATTATAAAATCATATTTCTTTCCCCCGAATACTTTCAACCTACGATGTACAAACGATCTCTCTCACCCAACGACGGTACTTATATACCAACGGAACGGAAATACTGGCGCCCCCGAGGTCAGGCAGCTTCAGCGATAGTCACCAATGGGAAAGAGAGGTAATAACCTTGGGGACACCAATAAATCTGCTTCCTAATATAATATCGTTACACGCTATTACGCAAGACTCTTCGAAATTGACTTCTTCGTTCCCCCTAACGTTTCTCCCCTTTTCACCATAGTGGGCTCCATAAGCAGCTCGTATAAACAGCCGAGAAAACCGCCCCCCTCGTTTCAGATACGTATCGAGGCGCTCCTTTCATAGTCCTCGGGATGAAACCACTCACGGGTACTAGGATGATTTAACGCGGCAGTTCGCCGTTGCCCCCGCGAATGTCTGGTCATCACGACCATAGTAAGACGCCAGCTTCCCCTTTGCGCCGGTTGTAAGTGTCCACGACTGGTATGCGGCCGGTATGTACGTCCGGGATATATGGTTGTCTTCATGCTCGTCCTTCGTATAAGGCCCTCTTGATGCTGCACGTACCCAGAGAAGGAGTGGGGAGGGAGGGGATGGATACCAAGGGATCTGTTCCGCGGGGCCCGCGAACGCGAAATACCGATGTAGCCGGGAAGAGTTCGTCGGACCCAGTCGGGAGCGAGACAGAGCCAGAGAAATCGCGGCCGTTGAAGAGGCAGAGCCGGTGAGAACGGCAGGGTTGTTGGGCCCTGAATTTACGGCGAAGACCGCGATAACCTCGATAGCCCGACACGGGTATATTGCCGCCCCGAAGACGGCCAACTGTCTATCGCGCGGTTCCCTCCCCTCCCCCACACGGTTTCTGGCTCGCTGACTTTCATCGTGGAATTTCGGGGGGGACAGTTCTCTTTCGTGACGATGAAAGTGACGCTGGACAACCACGCCTTCCGCAGCCTCGACACTCAGAGTCGTGTACGGCATCGACAGTGTGATCGACAACCCTTCCGGATCGATAACGTTCAACGACAGCTCGATTTCAATGTACTGATTCATCGAATGCTTTAGTATTCAGGATCAGCTGGGAGATTCTATCTGGTATTTACCGAAGAGTCGTGTTTCTTGGAAATATTCTCGGAACAAATACTGTATATATTTTGATCCTAGAATTTTTAGGAACTCTTGCAATAGTAGCCTCGGGTCACGAGTGACAGCGAGCACGGATATTCCGTCTGAACCGGGTTGACAAAGTGATCGACAACCGTCTTGGATCGATAACGTTCACCGACAGCCCGAGCTGTCGAGATCGCGACCAGAGGGGTGGTACGAAATAAAAATCACCGCGAAACGCACGCTTCACGCTCATATCCGTGGGGCCCGGTGGTTTATTAATGCCCGGCTGTTACATAAACAATGACTCGGGGCCCCGTTCCAGCCGGGGCATTACGTATATACGCGTCACGCGTGTCCCGCTCTATAAACCAGCGGAATATCGTACAATCGGAGGCGGACGTCTCGGTATGTATCCACGTCAATGCAACGTACGACGCCTGGACGGTGGTATAGCTGTCAGGCGTCGCGTATAGCTCAGTCACGTGTTTATGCGTGCCTATCTATTCCGGTGCGTCCATCGACAATGACGGAAAAAAAAGAACCTTTTAAGTAACGACGTATTCTCACGCGTTTATTCACGAGGCAGGGGCTCCGTGGAATAGGATAGGATACAGAGAAGATACGATGGGATACGGACTGCGCCTACTTATGCTCGCAGGTGCGCGAGAAGGCCCTCGTGTGTATGCCCACGTGCGTGTTCTCCAGGCAATACGCGGATAAAACCGTGAGCGTACACGGTGTGTTACGAACTTGGACCCGGGTGGTATATACGCGAGATAGCCGGATTCGGAGCGTTAATGTATTCGTTAGGTTACCAGTATACATACATTGATAGGCCGGCCGACTTTACGCTCCTTCCCCATCTCTCCCGAACTCTTCGGAGGCCCAGCTTTCCCTTCCCTGTTGGCTCTCGCGAGTATATACCAACGGTGTCCCTTCTTCTGCCGTTCTACACAGCCTACTACTCTCTTTCTTTCTTTCTCCTACCTCGCCCTTAAACTCTCTCCTTCGGTTGTCCGGCTTTCCTGGAGGCTCTCTCTGGTGAGCTAAATATAGCTAGGGCCAAGATATAAATAGAATAACCCCGCGGGGCCAAGATGGCCGGGGTCAGCTCTCGCAACGCGTCTTGACTTCTTTCCCCTTCTTCTTCTTCTTCTTCTTCTTCTTATTCTTACTTCTCCTCTCCTTTCACCCACCCGGACTCCGGATTTTTCGTCTCGTTCGTTTTACGCCCGACTCCCCGGGTACACCACCAGGATTTACCTGTCCCCCCTGCACGACTACTCCGATGGCTTTAACACCAACGTGTCCACCCCGGGGCAATCCCATTGGCCGACCTTACGGTCCGCAGGTCGGTTCCCCTTCGATAAGAGGTCACCGACACGGACCCTCCGTACGTCCCGCTGCCTTTGCCTTTGGGTCCCCGTTCGATCGTTCGGGGTTTCGGACCCTGTGAGTTCGCGTGTTCGCCTCTATCTCTCTTTCTCTCTGCGTTTTATTGCGCGCCGAGTCTCCGAGTATACTCTTACGTAAAATAAACGCCCATGAGTCGTGTATGTATGCGTGTGTATCGCCATGGCGAGCGATACACCCGTGGCCGGCACTAAAATTTCAATTTCTGATCCCGTTGGGACTTCCTGGACAAGATTTGTGGTACGATCGGGCGCGTGACTCGTCGTGAAAGCAAGGCGACTTGAAGTCCAGCTCGAGGAACGCAGAAGAGAACGGGTCCACACGCTACGCGTACCCGTTTGATTTCTGAACTGGATGAAACGGCCGATTTAGAAAGGACCGTTTTCCACCTACAGATGAGAGAACGATCGTAGGTGTTTTCGAGACGTTTCACGGTTGAAAAGACACAATGTTGCGACCGGTATCGGGATCATTTCAACCGATTCCACCCGCGTCCCCTTTAATCAGTCCGGTCCGCTCCGCGGGTACGGTTTTTGCCCGAGATTAAATGCTGCCTCTAACGACCCAGTACTTTATACGGGGATGCGGCTCGCGGAATATCCTGCGTTTATCATTCTGTACGAGCGGCGCGCGGAGGTCGTAGGATCGACGGAGGAGGAGAAGGCAGAAGAAGAAGAGGATGAAGAAAATGAGGAAGGCGGCTCGAGGCTCCGTTCGACCCTGGCCAGGGCCGTATCGGCGCGGGATTAATGGCAGTGACATCCCGCTCGTGGCCAGATGAGATTCTCCGACTCTCGTGCCTGTGGAAGAGCAACAGAAAGGAGAGAGAGAGAGAGAGAGAGAGAGAGAGAGAGAGAGAGAGAGAGAGAGAGAGAGAGAGAGAAAAACCAGAAGATGTCCAGAAGAATAAGAAGACGAAGAAGAAGACGAAGAAGAACAAGTAGAAGAAGAAGAAGTCGACGACGAAGCGGAGGAGGTAAAAGATACCCGATGTGAGTCGGGTGCGTTGACCTTAGGATTCGACGCGCGTCCTTGAGGATACCAAGATGGCGAGTTTATGCAACCGGCCACAATGGTATCTGCAGGCTGCAAGCAGCGTCTCCTCTCGTCGCGTTCTATTTGACGCACGACGATTCGACGCGCTTGCATTCTCGAGGGACTCTCTCGTTCGAGCGCACTTCCACCAGTCGGGGCCCCCTGGTCGTACCCTTGTACGCACAAGACGCCACACGCGTGCACGCATCACACGCGCAAGCGAGCGAGCGTACGGGCCCCGGCACCGACATGAGCTTAAGACGCGCCGTTAAAGCCAGTCAGTCCAGTTTCCATCGCCGTAGCTCGCGCGGACGAGCCAGGAATACACCGTGGATTCGAAAGGAAATCAAATCCGAGGAAAGGCCAACGAACGAGGCATGGGCTCTCTTGCGTGTTCACGGTCTACGGGGGCCACACTCTGTTTCCACCACGCTCTTGGTTACGACGACGCGATATCGAGAAGCTTGGACTTCGCCTTTCGTCCTGGACTCTCGATGGAGTCCTAGGGCGTTCCTATGAACTATTCTCCTTGGGTTGTCCGCGACACGTTGTTCCGTCGTCACGCCAACGACCCTGCTTGTCGCTCGGGACCGCTTTTTTTTTTTTTCGCTGCCTCCGACCGATTCCTTCCTTAGATACTGCGGTTGCCAGACCTGGGTATATAACGAGACTAGCTCGCCAACGGTCGTTGTAACATTTTCTGAATTCCTCGTCCCGTCTGTTCGCGATTCGATAGCGACCAATGGGGCCTTTTTACATCAGCGTAGACCACTACGATTCCTATTGGAACGATCGATTCCCGATACTATATTCGCGTTCTACCTGTCTACACCGGTCTTTGGTACACGTTAGCGTGAGCCACCAGTAAAATCTTGCTGGCCAATAAATTTCGTTCGGGGCCTGTCCGGTCGGTCGTAAAAGATTCGGGAATTGGAACTCAGGAAATTGGTACGTCAGTGTCATTCGGGATGTAAAAACTTGTTTCTTACCTACTGCGCGCCCGTTGCACGCATATCGAGAAAAAGACCTCTGGGAGACTCGATATATACTGACAATCGAACCACGGGCGAGCCTCTCCTCGACCGTTCTCGCTCGTACATCCGTTGCGTGTATATACGTGAGGGGGAGTGCGTGTGCGAGTGTGTGTATACGGCACACCGTGCCACGTGTGTATATACGGTTACCGTGCGCGCACGAGTCTACCTGATATACAGAGACACCATATGCGACGGGTACGTGCACACATACGCGGACGCGAGCAGGGATCCTTGATCCTACAGGAATGCAGTCTTGGCGGCCCACGCGGCCTCAAGTACCCCACTCTCCGTCTCTCTTTCTCTCCCGTATTCTATGTCCCTCTCTGGGCTACCTTGTTCCTCTTCCCTTCTTCGTTTTCACGAGATCTAATCCCCGCAGGGCCACGTCCGTAAAGCAAAGAGCGGTATTGGTCGAATGCACGCGCCTCTTCGTTGTTCTCCGCGTTCTCCCTTGGCGGATCCGGCAACGGAATTGTTCGATCCGTGAGGAACGGATGGTTATTTTGAAAATATTTATTTTCGATGGTATAGCCTGAGCTTGGGTCCGAACACGGTGTTCGTTTGCTCTGGAGCCGAAGTTGCGTTTTGAAGTTATGGGGTGGTAACTTTGGGAATCGTAGATAAATCTTGTAATAGGAAAGCTTGTCCGCAATTGGAGTGAACATTATATTACGGGTATAGCGATATTGTGCATTGAAAATATTGTGGGTATCTTACGTACAGAAACGTGGCTTTGGAGACTCAAACGCGTGGTAAAGGCATACTATCGTGTCTAAATGATTTCTCCTAATAGGCACGGATAGATACAGTAATCTAGCGTGTACCACTATTTTCACCTCATTTATTCGATGATTCTTTTGTATTCAGACCCTGTTACCCAACCATAAGCTACGTGAATCATTAAAACACTGTACACAAGATGTAAAGATGTCAGTGTCCAACTTAAATCCTCCATTCCTCTACAATTTCCAGCGAACACAGCAATGTATCAAGAAGGATCTCTCCCTTAAAACAGTCAAGATCTCACACGATAAATCGTTCGGCGATCAGATTTGGCGAATCAAAGGAAACCGAATCCGTGTTTCAGCTGGGTGGGCGCGTCGAGCTCCGTCGAATGCGCGGGGAGATCCTCCGTTTTCCCCCGATGGACACGAGACCGTCGTCGTGGAAAAATCGCCAGCAAAAGGGACAGTGGCGCGCGGCTGGAGGCGTTCAATTTTTCGCGACCGACCCACCACCACCGCCGGTTATTAATTCCTCGCCGTTTAACGTCCGACGAAAAGAAAGATACTCGGGTTTCAGCGGCGGGGGCAGCCAGTGTTCTCTCTCCCGTCATGTGTCTTGCCCCTTCGCGTGATCGAACGAACCACGTCCCCTATAAATAAACTTTTCATACATCAGCACCGGAGACCGTGTGCCAGCTAGCTGGAATAAAGCACATAGAGATGAAATCATAGCCTGCGCGCCGCAGGATACACACTGTGCATCCGCGACGAGACGGTGTCCGGTAGCTCGCAGCGGTTTAATCGACGTCCTGCGAGAGAGGAGGAACTCTTTTCCTCGGAGGGACCGTCTCTCTACGATGGGCTCAGTTAAACAACCGCGGCTGGTACGGGGGAGAGAGGTCTGTACCGCGAACGAGCGAGCGAACGAGCGGAGGGAAGATCATCTTCGATCTTCAAGGTCGACTGCATGCGGCCTCCGAGGCCTTCACGAGGAGGCGTCGATCCGAGCCGCGTCGAATTCGTTCGACTGTTTCCTTCGTCCCGCAGCTGTTTCCCTCGTCTCCGCGTTCAGTCCGCATTCAAATGCCACGTTTCCTGCCCTCGGCGACGGTCTCGAATCGCGCTCGCCGATTTTGTCGATTGTCCCGCTGGCTGTCAGCGACATGACCACGCGCGATGAACTTCGCGAAGACGCGGGAGGGTACGCGGATGAAAAAGTAAGGGGTGTGGTTGTTGGTTAGTGTAGGGTTTGACAGTTCTTTGGGAATACCGTAGGATATAATAGGTTGTTTTGACACCTGTGTACAGGTTCACTAGCTATCGCCAGGTTTTTTAAAAAATGGTCCGAGAGGTTGGATGTAGAAGTTGATGGACAGTATATAGCAAGTTCTAATGATTCTTTTCCGAATTATAATTACGTGGAGCTTTTTAAGTGAATCTTGAATGCCTTATTGCGGAAACATTAAACGTGCTATGCCCAGGCTTTTTTTTTTAATGGTCAAAGCGATTATATATAGAGTTAATAGATATTATGTAGCAGTTTCTTATGATGCCTTCCCGAGTTATAATTATATGTACCTTTTTAAGTGAATCTTGGACATCTTATTGCGGAAACATTAAAGTTTCTCTAACGTAACCCCTCTCCCTAGATTATTGAATACAATGACCATAAATCCTTCGTCGACCCGATACACGGTTATGACAGCTACGAGATTGAAGAACACGAAGATGAGGAAGAGGAGGAACAAGAGGAATCGGGAAGAGTAAAGAAATCGATAGACGAGGAGATCGATTGGTACGTGTCCTCGGACCAGAGTATCGTAGGCGGAAAGTACGGGGAGGAATTTTACGAAGGGGAAGAACTAGGTGAGGAGGAGATACCACTTTCCCCGGAGGACTCCGTGGAAAAGTTAGAGGAAGCGCGACAGGTAGAAGAATCCGATCACGTGCTCGTCGAGTTACCAGCGGAGGTGCGCATAAACCTGTCATTCTCTCTCGTTCTGCACATGGAGTCGCTATTCCTCACGACCTTCGTGATACATTAAGATTCTAAGGTTCTAAACCACAAGGCTTCTCGCCGTGTACATATCCAACCCCCTTTGATCCGGGAATTTGCACATAATGGCCCGCGAATCTTATTGTAAAAGAGGTTCTTTCTGGTGTAACGTATCGTCTGTCGTTTCCATTTTTCTGCTGCGGTAGGATGCAGCCGAACGCGAGGCGCTTATTAGCAGGTTGACAGAGTTACAGACCGAATACGGGGATTTGCGACGGAGAAACAGGCTTCTGGATCTTTGGGTTTCCCGATGTATGACGAAGGTCAGTTTCGAATTGATCATCTTGTATGTACACCTCTTACCTCGAAATCTCACTAGGTATCGTTGTACTCTCTACATAGAAACAATCGTTTATGTAGAATCAGCAGAGAATGACACCCCCAGATCCCACCAAGAATACCGAGCAAATGGAAAAGATATACAAAGAGGTTCTACGGGTTTACAAGATGCAAGTCGACGACATATTAACGCAACAGAACGAGCTGACCTACGAAATGCAAACTTATACCGAGAAAATTGACGCGATTCGGGCCGAGAACGAGGCAGCTTTCAACGAATTCTTAGACCGTGAGAGAGAAGTGGCTGTAGGCCTCGTCTTCGAGAAGACCGGGAAAAAGCTCACGGATAAAATGATGAACGCTTTGACCCATCGCCAGGTGTCGCTTCGTTTATACCATTCATTGCTAAACCCGTAAACCGATGATTGTTGGTCGTTACACAGCTCTTTCACGACAGACGATGCGTTCCAAGATCTTGGCTCAAGATAGACAGGGTTACATACTTCTTCGACATTGTCTCGAGGATCTGAAAACTCGATTGAAAGGCGTGGAGACTTTGGGCGAAGGGATGACAACGGTGGATTACGAGGCCCTACATGTCGCTAATCTCAGTTACAAGGATAAACTGGATGAACGAGACCAGGAATTAGAAAAACTACGTGCGAAGTACAGCCCTCTGTTCCCGTGTATCGTGGTGATACACACTTGCAGATGACATTTACAATACACTCTTTTTCGATTCTGTGACAGAATTGCGAAGACGGTGAACGGCGTCGCTCAATACAAAGAAAAGGAAGTCTGTCTCATAGAGGATATAGAGTACGAAGAGGAGAGTTTGAAAAACTACCGTGAAAAGAACACGAGGAATCGCGAATGCGTGAACAAAGCTCGGGTGAGGCTGAACGAACTACGGATCGAGTTCAACGAGAAAAGGATCGAAGCCGGTCTTCTGGTCGCGCAGTAAGACACGTCCGTTTGATAGACGAGCGTTTTTTGACACGTGATTCCGCGATCATTGAGGTTTCGTCAACTTCAGGCCGGCGCTGCTGGATATGGAACGGCGAATGTACATGAGGAACGATCTGCGCGAGGCGATCGAGGCACTCGAGCACGAAATCAAGCAGTACGAGCCCGAGAGACCGGGAAAACGTGCCCGATCGTCAGTCCAATCGGAGGATCGGCACTGGAGCAAAAGTTCGAACACAACATTTTGATTCGGTGCGTTCACGATTCGATCGATAGGAAAAATTTCACTTCGAGTTAACGACGGAAATTCCAGTCGACCAGTCGCGTCCATAGGGAGAATAGGTGTACGCATACATACATATATACAATGCCTCTAGAATTCAATCGAGCCCCGTGTTTTCTTACATCACGCGCGCGTGTAACGTGTCCCTCTTATCTCGCGAGCAATTTATCACCGTGTGCCGCGTCGCGGGTTTCGTTAGCGCACGGATTCGCAACTTCTCTCGCGGGAATCGTATTAATTTGACCGGCCGTGTCAGGCCGCCCACGGGAGTCTCTCAAGCTCGAACCGTCGACACGATAAAGGGGAGGTACATATTAATCGAACCCGCCGTGATAGTCCACGAGAACGTTTTTTCGTCCTCGTGGGCAACAAGCAAACTCCGGCCGGGCGTCGTATTAATTATGGGGAACGGAGGGGGCAAGGCAACAGGAGGGTGAGAAAAAAATTGTGTCCTCGTGCAAACTTCATCGAGGGCTCTCGGGTTTCGTCGCCGTGCGTGATGCGTCGCCCTATCCTGGTTGAAGTCAGTCATCGTATTAAAACAGAACGCCTCGCGTGTAACCGATTTTAAAACCTCGTGGCGATCCACGATTTCCATGCATACGGAATGAAAGGGAGAAAACACGATATAAATTGGCTGCTCCGGGGGAATATTAATTCCCCCCCCCCCCCCCCCCCCACAAGTCCATGGAACAGGAGTGTACGGGATGTAAATTATACGTGGGCAGGAAAATTCAAGCGGGTTCGCGGAACTAATCCAAAATGAAGCAGAACTGCAATGGCCTCAGTGGTACTTACAAGTGGGAGTTCGAACGCTTTTTGAATGAAACTTATTGGTATGAAATATGGGTGACGTATCTGGAGAAACTGTATCTAGAGCGTTTTCCATAATCATTCCATATCCAGGGGGCGAAAAGGTTTTCGAATAGACGGGGATAAATATAATAATATAACAGGTATTTTTTCTTTCTAATTTACAATTCACTTTACAAATTTTGTTAAAACATAATTTTACCAAATCCCGAAATCCACGCGAGCGAGGCCCAGGACAAAAAGCTGGTTCCCAATAAAATGGTTACTCGGCGACTTTATCAGAACCGAAAACAGGTTTTCGGTCTTTCGTAATCGAGTGAGTCTTTCGAGATTCGTTTTCTTTTTCATTTCTTCGTTTTTCGTTGACCATATTCTCCCGTGCGATTAGCAACGCGAAGCGATCCGCGTTAAAGTTTCGCAATCTCCGTACCACCCCACGATGAGTTAGCGTTAGATTAGCAAAAGCGCTTCATTGTCAGCGTGTGGGTAGTTTCATTCATTCGTCCGCCTACGCGGGGGAGCGGCGTTATTTAAAAGAAAACCAAAGGTTATCCGCGTGCGCGCGTGTACCACGAGGCCACTCTCCTAGCGAGCTCTCCCCGGAAAAGAATCGCCTATTAATTTCGCGTGGGCGTAGTATGTACTTTGGCCCGTTGCGATGAAATCGTACAAGGGTGGATCTCCCGCTGTTCGTGTATCGAGAGGGCAGCGCTTCGATACGACGACCCTCACCCTTCTTCCCCCATCGATCGCGCGCGCGCGCGCGAGCGCATGGTCCTGTTCGCATGATTTCGGGGGCCAATTAGGACCCGGCGTCGAAGCCATTAATTCTTTTTGGTAATTTGTCCGTGGGCCCAACGGAATTGATTTAAGGCCGACGCGTGGACCGAGGGCCCAAGACGAATGGTTCCGCCGTGTAACACGAAAAGAGATGACGTGTCAATTAAGCTACCCTACAATCCGCCGGAAAGTTATATACGCCATCGGGCCGGCGACGCGCGGAAAGATAAATCACCGGTAAATCTCTCTTCGATCGGGGCTTGATCGGACGATTATTTATATACGTCATTCACGAATCAACGGGTATCCCTCCGGTGTACCTGCAGTTATCCGCGAACACCGTTTCCCCTCCACCCCTTGTATGCAACTCGTTTCACCGTGCATAATGGTCAATGCCTCGCAGCATGGGTATTACGAGCACGATTTTATTCGGTTATGCTCGATCACGTAACTAATAAAACGGTTCGCCTTCTGCAACGAACTTGCTAATTCCCCCTGTCAAGGACATCCATCTTTCCCCGGGGCGGTCGAAGAATTTCGTATCCCGATACCTGTGTGTACCTGTACCGATCCCAAGATATGACGGTTGGGCTATTCTTCTCGGTACCCTTAAGGATTCCGTTTTCCCGACGTGTCGTCTACCTGCTCTTTCAGTCGAAGTCGAATAGACTTTCCCCGGAAATTCTCTTGGTTTTCCTCGAAACAGAATAATCCTTCCTCGAATCGACACTTTCTTTTTCGTAGCCAGTGTCCCCCGCGGATCTGTGTAACTCTTCCGCGACCGTTTCCGCGACACCGTTGAAAACCTGGATGTGTAGCGACAGCTCGTGTCGCGCAACGATAATAAAGAACGACACCTCCGATCGAGACGTGTCGCGTAAGCCCGGGTGGCTGGCCGAAGACAACGGCATGCGAAACAGAGAGAAATCCTCCGGCAAATTATGCAGATCCGACGGTGATTTGCATTTCGTTAGCATACACGGGCCTGGTCGTTGCACGTTGCCGTGGTCTCTGCTATGGACTTTCATCTATTTACCATAAAAAACGTGCACGATCCGGATGGATCCCGGTGGCCGGTCCCAGGCCGCCTCGCCCTCGCCGCCACGTACCGTCCCCGTACCCGCCCGTCGAATCGATCCGTCGATCGATCTCACGGCACTTTACCCGCCCCACGACCGATCGACCGCCGTCGTTGACTTTTCCGCATTAATGCCGATTTCGCTGTGAGCCTAGCTTAGTTTCTTCGCCGCGTGTCTGGAGACACGAACTGGGACAATCGATCTGTCATGATCGCTGTGCGGGTAGGTACCTGCAATGAGATTACGAAGCTCGTGTTCAAGCAACGAAAGGGCTTAACACGTAGCTGCGGGAGAACTTTGTCCGCTTTAGATTCTGCTGGAACTGCCCGAAAGAAGTTAGGTTGTGTCGTCAAGGTACTGAAAGATAGGACTATAATGAAATAAATATTGTAGAATGTACGATCCAGGTCATAAGTATATATTAGGACTTTTGTGGAATTGGTATTGAATGCTACAAAGCATTCGAAATTGCTGAAAATCCGAAAGAAATATTGTTCAGGGGATATTAAACTCAATGAACAATGTTTATAATACTATGAACTAATAAAAGTTTTGGGAAATATCGTATTTTCTTCGTACAGACCAGGTTTCCTAATACTTATGGGTGATAGTGTATGTGTGCCTTCTAAATTTGTTTCTAATTCGCAACAGAATCGAAGAGAAATTGAATCGAAAATGCAGTGAATATTGATAAGTGATTAGTACATAATATAAGCTTATTTTTTGTGAGAGTGTTTATCGTTAAAGGTTAAAGCTATCGATTGATCAGGTGTAAGATTCCGTTGTCGAACATACACGTGAACTTGTTACGAACACAAAGAGTCCTGTAGTTGGCTGTGTTCGGTGGTATTGACCGATGAAATTTCGCCGGTCGGAGCAATATAGCGCGGCAATTACGTGAACGCGGAACCCTTCCGTAAAAGGGAAAACGCACGTTAAGGAATCATGTCCATTCTCAAGGTCGACCGGTATCCTACCGGCCCCTACCCGTAGACTGCATAACGCGTTTCTATTACGCGGTCAATTGCAGCGATTGTTGCGTGTCTCTCGCAATCAGCGCCACGGCCTGCGAGCATGCTTTCTCTTTCTCCACCCCATTTCTCCTTCTCTTACCGATCACCGCGACGAAAATTCATTCCAGACCTTCTGCTAGCTGGAACAAAGTCGCTAAATTATAATCGAAGACAAAGATAAATTCAGACCCTTCGTAATTTCACCGAGTAGAATATCATTTCAGAATTCATCGAAAGATTTTAACGTTTTTATTTCTGGTAACGTTTCGAAACACGGAAGTCAGGCAATTTTCATGTATCCATTCGAAAGTAGAACGTCTTTAAGAGTGGAGCAACACCGACGGGGAAAACGGGCCTGGAAGACAATACGTGTGTGTTCTATGATTTACGGCCACTTAACTTACGTCACGTTGCGTCTTTGCGATCGGTACCGACTGAGAATAGGATTAATTTAACACGATTAGATATCAAATGACCGATGTCGTGACGTAAGTTTTATCGAGCTGTGTGCGTCGCCCTCCCTGCTGGAAAATCGCGCGTCATTCGCGGGTCGGTGTCGTGCGACTGGCAAATTGTGCGCGGAGCGAGAGAGATTGACGTTTAATAGATGTCAAAACAACAATCGTCGGGATTAGACAATGCGCGAGCGCGAGCGGGAAGCGAGCCAAACGCGTCGCGTTGCCTGCACGAACGGAACACCGATAAACCGAGTGAGGCGAAACGAGCAATAAATCACGATTGTAGTTTTATTTTTTGATAATCGCGGCATGCACCGAGCGTATTAGTCAGAGGGAGCATAAATTGCATCCTCGCGTATGGAATATAAATCAAAATTTCAGAGTGATCCGTACGGGCGTCAAAGTGATTTAACGTTTCTCTTACAGCCGGTGGACATTTTTAGGAAAGGAACCGTACTTTCATACGGGCCCCCATTAATCGATAAGTGGCGTAAGCCTAGAATCCCGAGGGCGATTAAACGAGTTCACTGTGAAATTAGCGAGTATCGAGACCTGTGTATGACTTTCTTGCGCTAACATATGCAAAATATTGCTTTTATACCAGTACTTTCTGTTCATGGAAAGTGATGTATGAATGTTCCATATGTAGTGTAATAACGGTGCTACGTATCTCAGTTAATGTTATGCCAAACTTGTCAATTAAATGGCTCGGACGAAATATCGTTATGTCCAGTTACATACACACACTGTACATCCGAAGATATCGTCTTACTGCAGGATTGAATTTTCCAAGGCAAGAAGAAGAAAGCAGTACGTAATGTAATGGAAGAATGTAGGTGGCCTTGAAGTGTCCTTAAAGTATCCATGTAGAACCAAAAAATAACTACTGTTTTATCCTTCAAGATTAAGTAGTTTCTTTAAAGGATCTACAAAAATTCTTACTATGGGTCATAACTCCTGCAGACTCATTACTACAACACATTAAACTCTAATATGTCTGTGAATCAGATTTATAGATGATCGAACACCCCCCAAAACTCCATAGAAACGGGTCACGTTGCGTAATCACACCTACAAGATCCCAAATTTAGCAATACTACATCTCGAAGCGGTTCGGTCCGGTCAGACCAGGACACAAAGGCGTCTTTTTGTGGTCGATTGCGCCACACGAAAAATAGCGTAATCACGGTGATTAACGAGAAAACCGTGTCTTCCATGTGGGGCGTCTGACAGCGGCGCTCGCGCGTGCGACACGTATCCACGACGGGGCAGACAATGCTCGAATCGATATGCGGGGCAACGATTTAAATACAAGCGCGCGCGTTGACACGCAGAGACCGCGAACGCGCCATACCATTGCTTTCTTTCACGGCGAATGAAACTGTGGCACGTGAGACGGTATATATACGACCGCTGATGGGGGACACAGCTGTGTACAGAGTTTGCAACCGCGATGATCCCGACGTTAACTATTTAGTAATGGTTTAACGATACCGATCATTGAATCGACCTCGAGCCGGGCATCGTCGCGATCGCTGACCTTGACAAAAGGGAAGGCAGATGGCCAGCAAAACGCGACGGCACGAAGCGTCTCGCCATGCAGAACTGGCCGGTATAATACATACATAAGTACACGTCCATCGTCCACACGATTGTGTGTGTGCGCGAATGAATTTACGAGGCTCGTTCCTTCCGAAGTGGCGAGGTACACGAAGGACGACTGATGGCGTGGGAGTGGATACCGTCCGTACGAAAAACTTTCTACGAAAATCTTTAATGGGAATCGATCATTGTTCGTGTCCGATCATATTTTCACTCTTCGATCCCAGAGGTCGAAGGCAAGAAGAAGGAAAGAAAAAGAAACAAACACTGTTTTTAAAGCACTTCGAAGCGGGATATCGAGAGTCCATTACTGGGCGAGAGCGTATATTTAATCCGTGTAAATACATATGTATGTATGTATGTACATACGGTATTTTTCGAAAGTTTGACATCGTCGTATCGACGATACCTTTTTTCCGTGTTACATTTTGTAAGCGGCGCATAAAGCCACGCGTCCCCATGTTTGTGTGTACGTACACGCACCGGCGGCATTATGTAAGTATACTCGTAAACATGTAATAAACGCGGGGGAATGCGGCGTTTTAGTCACATTTTATGGGAGGAGAACACATGCGTGGGCGGAGGACGACGCTGGAGTACTCGGAGGGGGACCAGTTTTTATGGTATCGAGTAGTGTCCACCACTCCTCCGTGGCGGGTCCGACTCGATGTCCACGATAAACATTCGTGCGTATTCGCCCGGGACGGTAATCCGTTATCGTTGAATTTCGTTTTATGGGCATCGACCGAGGCCGCAGTGTCGTCGACAGAGTCGAGAAACTTTCTTTCGAGTGGCCCCGTTACGACGCGATTATGAGATTAGATGTGAAGTAACGATCGTTGATGTGCAATTTCTAGGATATTACGGATTAATTAATTCATACTCGTACAAAAAACGTCTGGTTCGTCATCGAACTGTTATGGAGGTCGAAATCGAGGTTCGTTCTTCGACATGGATTAACATTTTTATCAGAAGCTGCTGATGCTTCTGCTCCAGCTCGAATACTTTCCGGTCTGTGATTTTAATATCGCCCCCGGGCTTCGGGACAGAGGATTCTAATTGCGCGCGAGCCAGGACCTCTCGGAGACATTAATGTAAATTCGTCAGGGAGCCACTTCATCTTCGTCCCGGGGATCCGATGTGATTAACGATAACATTCGATTTGACGGTGAAGAAGAAAAGAAAAAGGAGAAAAAGAAATGTATCGTGTCGGGTATACGCGATACGCCAGGAATTTTTGTATGGGGGCTCCGGCCTCCGCGTCGCGAGTACCGGGTTTCGCCATTAAGCGAGCTTTGCTCTTATTTATCATCTTCAATTTCACATTCCGGGATATGCAAATGAGACGTGGGTTGCTTGGCGCGAAACAAACGCTACACCGAAAAGAAATTCCCAGGCGTCCTTTTGCCTCTTCTCTCCGTTTTAACAAATCCTGCTACACCTACTCCCCTGAACCAACCACTCGCGGAGATAAATTGCTTTCTCTCGGACGAGTTACTCTCTGATGTAATAAAACAATCTGAAAGCAATAACGAATCGCTTCCGCTTGTGTGCTGGATAGATGAATAACCGACCAAAACGGACGTGGAGTTGTCTGTACCGCCGTCGTACACTGAAGCAGTCGACTTCGAACAATTATTTATATCTAACATGTCGAACCGTCTTATGGGAAGACAGGATTCAGTAAGAAATTCTAACAGTAACAATAATAAGAGTAAAATACCGAACTAAACGTGTCATTCCCAGTCTAACATTTACACTCTAGTTAACAACCTCCCATCTGGATGGTTAATCGTAAACGGAATCGTTCATGACAGTGACCGCGAAAAACCGTCTGGCAAACGGCAAAAGAAAGAGAAACGCCGATCGGTCTAAACGACGGCAGACAACGCGTTAATTACCTCCTATCTCGGCCGCAAATTTCGCCCCGTGCCTATCGCAACAAACCAGAAAACCAACATCGCGAACGAGAGTGGCAGTAGTGGTGGGAGGGGCAGGAGGAGCGCATAGAGGACGGAGAGCGAAATATACGGGGAATAAAGAAACACAAAGAAGAGGATAATAGACATAGATTATAGAGGCCGGTGGAGGCAGAGGGAGCGGGGCGGTCGTGGTGGGGAACGGAAAGAAGCGGGGTAGAGCGGTCGTTTGCCTTGGATCGCCTTCGAACCGGAGAGTCCAAGAGGGCCCAATCCCGAGAGGCCGAGCCGCTCGGAGCCCCAAGCTCGATCCCGATTCCGATCCCGCCTGATTTCCGCCGTGTGCATTCCATCTTATAGGTTCGTCGAGGTTCGTGCGTACTCGTGCGACGTCGTCGGTGCTCGGCGACGGTCGGCCGCGCGGTTCGGCCACGCCGTCGTGCAACTTCGGGCTACAGTTGTGTGTCAGCGCTCGCGCGGAGTGGAACGCGGACCGCGCGCCTCCCCCTCACATCCCACCGTCTCGAACTTAACCGGATAGAATGACGACGGTGTCTTTTCTGGCTGTGCCACGAGACGCTGTAAAGGACGTTGGTCCGCCGCGCACTGACGTTTTGCCTGCCTCCCCGGCCATGTCATCGCGGTGAACACACGTTCGTCGTCGTCGTCGTTGTTCGGCCTCTCGTGTTATCTACGGCGAATCTGTCACGTGACCACGCCGCCGGAGGCGGGATTGTTCAAACCGGCGCGTTAACGTGCTGTGCGTGTAACAGTGGATGTGCTTGATCCTCGTTTTATCTCTGTCTCCCTGTCTTTCCCTCTTACTCCATCGCGTTTACCATCGGCCAGTTCTCCGTCTTCTTTGCTCTCTGTGTGCCCACCACATCGTTCAAGTTGGACCGGTCGTCATCCTGGATAACGCTTGTTCTCCGTGGAGCCAGGCCCGCGTAGCAACGCAACTCCGACTCCCGACGCCGCTGAATCAACAGGTGGGAATCTGCGAACTAACAGGTACAACCTATCCGTTTCGATTTTTCTATTCCGTCCCCGCCGACCGACCGCCGACCCTGGCGGCGGCAGCTGTCAGTTGCCAGGTGGCGGAGAACGCCGCCGTCTGCGATCCTTCGAATTCCTCGAGGCTCGCAAACCAAGACACCACGAGCTATACGCGTGATAGATACACACGGGGGGACTCGGTCTTCGGTTCGACTCGAGTTCCCCGTGGAGAACGAGTCGCGTTACGCTTTACCCCTGGTGCACCTGCCTGACCTCAACACGTTGCGTCTCGTTGCGTGCCTGTTACTGGCTCGCAACACTGTGTTGATGATTCTTGCCGATCGTAATAAAAAACGGTCGAGTGTAGGCGGCAAGCATTGCAGGAACTTGTGTATACGTACACCTTTCGAAAGCAGGAATCGGAGTCATTCCACGTGTGAACGAAAATTTCGTTATGTAATGAGGCAACGTAATGCTTGCCTCGATCGTTTTGTTTCGATGATGTCAGGTAGAAATTAAACGATTGGTCAGTATTTCTTTTTTAGTATTTACAATGATTATTACGCGTGTGCTTTCATTTGCAGTACGTAATAAAAGCAATTAGATATTAGAATAGAAAATTCGTTAATCGATGAAGAGGTAGGTATAATATAATTGTTGATTTGAAAACGCTAGCATTAATATTCTATTGGGAATATAAATATGTTTAATAATTATTATTGTGAGGATAACGAATGTCAGAATGATTTATACGTCGCTGATGGAATTTTAATTCACTATCGATGTAGAGGAGCGTACCTTGGCAACGAAAAGTTGAAACATGTTGTTTACACCGCGACTCCTTCAATTTTAACGGATCCGTGCTTCTTTTGCGCGAGAAAGATCCCGAGATAACAATCCTTACCGGTTCCTTCGGTATTCGTATGCGCTTGGAGCGCGATTCAACATCCTAGCTTACCAAGAACCAGCTCACAACGGGATATCGCATGGCACGAGGTGCGCGCATCCCTGATTGTATGTGCTCGCCATTAACAGCACGCTAAACATTCTCAGGAAATTTTTCTCACGCACGGATCTCCATCATTTTCCCGGCTGGTAGTTGTTCTTTCGTGTCACTTTCCCTCGTTTCGCGTTTAATAGTTTATAACAGCGAGTTAGAAAAAAAAACGTTGCAGTTTCATTAGGATTTTTTATATCGTTTTGCCTTGAAGGCGGTAGATTAATTTTACAATTGGTTTGTTTCGTTCATAATACAAGTCCATTCATGAGATACAGTCTTCTTATTGTTTGTAACATATGCCGAATTATTGTGCCAAAATATTCAGATGTTCTTCCCTCGTTTCCTACCAGCTTCTTTATCATACGAACCTTTTCCTTTGTAATTTCCTGTTACAGCTCTATTATATACTGTTACGTAACTTTCTCCATTCGGTTTCACTCATTCCAACCGCTCGCATAGAAATCCACAATGACGATGTTTCCTGGCCCGGAAGTAACAGTAATGGTTCATTAAAACGAACAATTCGTGGACGCTTCTTCCTTGGTCTCTACGTTCATAAATCTACGACGTACGAATTCTTTTATCTTACCTAGAAAACCGATAGGTGAACCCTTATAGTACCGTATAAGTTGTCCGGGTACCATTCAAAAATACCTTGAAAAATATGCGATTTTTGAGATGTCTATTAAAATTGATATATTTCTCATAAAAACAAAGGTATTCTCACGTTCTTGAAAAATTTTATTATTCCATTCCAGTAAATGTATGTTCTACTATATAAACGTAATTTATAAAAATAAAATGTCATTACATGTATTTAAATTATATTGAAAATGAAAGCCCATGTATCGGCTCAAGGTATTTTTCGGAAAACCCACAAATCCGAAATATCGGCTCTAAGGTACTAAAAGGGTTAAACCCTTAAATTTTTCTTCGAATAGAAATTCTTTCTAAACAAATTTCACGTTCGTTCTCCCCTACGTGCCGGCCTTGACATCGGCTCGATATATCGGCTCGAGTACCTTGACCTTTTCGTCGATAAATCCGTGGGTAGCTTCTTCCTCGCTTCGAAGGTCGGACGCTTGCTTCCTTTTCCAGCCTTTCGACACGATCGTTTTTCGAGCGCGCGGTGCCTCGCGCCGCCTCGGGGAGATTCTGCGCTCGCGCGACCGAGAGAGAGCTCCAGGAATGCTTGTGCAACCAATGGGTCGAGATTAGCGTGCTTGTGTTTTCCGTACGATCAGAAAGAGCGAGAGAGGGGGAGAGAGAACCATTCTCGAGTATCGAATAATTAAACCGATTCAATACGCCATTGTGAGCTAATGACAAAAGTATAATAGAATTACTCGACCCGGCTGAATGGCAAATATCGTGTAGTTCCATCGACCTTGGAGCTCGATACTTGACGGTAGAATGGAGTGAAAAATTGCCCACAGCGATCCACTCTGCGCGCCCGCCAGGTATATATATATATACAATATATGTATATAGATACATATATATTTATATCGAGGATCACAAAACTCGCTTACGATTGTGCGCCTCGTTTCCCTCGGCCGTTCGCGCATGCAATCGAATCCGAGCCGCGTCTCATGAATGAATCATGACTACCTTTAAGAAACCCAGAGAATCCTGCCTGGGCCCCGTGCACACCGCTGAGGGGGAGAGCCTTCACGTGTGCCCGGTCATCGATACAGGTAGCATGCCCGTGCACTTGTTAATTATGGCCTCGTGCAAAACCCCCGGCACGTATACCACTCGAACGGCCTGCCCCCTAGACGTCCCGAATGCAACGCTTGTTAAGATACCATTAACTAATATATCGATCGGAGCCGATTCGAGCCCCGAGGGTCGCAACCTTTCGTGAACGAATTAAAGTGAAAGCCTCGTCTATATAACCGCCGCGCGCAATGTCTGGCACTTTGAACTCGCCGGCGGTTTTACGATCGCTTCTTCCCCCCCTGTGGAAGATTCATAGTTCGCGGTCGCGGGTTAGAGGGATCGTGGAAAGGGGTCGAAAAATATTGAAATACATTGTACACATAAAACAGTCGATGCGTTCGCTGGAGGGGAAAAGAGAGGGAACGGGTTGGCAGAGCGATGAATTTTACACGGAAAGAGAATTTATGCGGGTCGTTGCCGCAATTATGGAAGTTATGGAAAGCGACGAAAGTAGGGTAAACCAATCTCTCCCGCACGGTTTACACAAGCGGACAGATAAAATCTGAATTTGTAACGTTTAACGCGGTTAGCGAAATGTTTCAATCGCGCCTCGGTTGGTCTACAAGCGTTCCTCTAACCGGCGATTAGCTTATTCAAACGCGCGTCTTGGCGCGATTGCCCCTTGTTTCCTCGATACTCTGATATTTACGGTGGTATCGCCCGCGCCGTTAGAACGTGTTGTGTACAATCTCTGTCAGGTGAAGACAGTGCTCCGAAACGTTTCGATCGATTGAAATACAAATTGGGAGAACTTCCTTCGTTGTGGATTGTAGAATTGGAAGTGATCAGAATTTACGAAATAGAAGAAGCAGAAAACATAAATTTCAACGTTTTCCTGAAAGCTTTCGACGTTCAGAAGGTAATGGATAACTCACTTGTTATTGGTTTCATTTTCTAGACCTGATGATTGGATTCATTTTCCTTCTTAACACAGTAAATGTAGAGCTAATTCTCTTTTACTTTCCATTTAGATGACCTGTAAATATAGAAAATGCGGTTTGTGCGTAAACATAAGATAAATTTCATATTGTTGGTCCCCAAGGATTGACGCCGCCTAAACGGAATGTTTAGTGTTGGTTTCCAGGGACTGACATCACGTTTAACGTGTTAATCGACTTCGTTTAGTTAACCTAAAGACTGCATCCACCTGTATTAAATTCATTCTGTTCTGTTGTGAAAAAATTTCATTTCATATTTTTCATGTGTTTCTCGTAGAATTACGTACATCCACACGTCCATCGTTTGTAGTACTATTTCACACACAATGGGAACGGTGATTCATGTTGAAGTTCCCTTTAATACACAAGAACCCACTGGTTCACGAAAGGAAAAAAAAACGCGTGTGTGACGTACTTACAACGTAAACAGTACACACATTCATCCCGCGTCATAGGACACGTCGTTATCTCCGAAACATTCGGGTCACATCAACGAGGCGCGTGTTTTTTTCCTGGTAGTGTGTATCGGGTTTCAGTCGCTCGAGATTCGTCAATGAACCGAGCATGTACAGTTTCTGGGAAACACGACGTTGTCTGCGATCATTCAGCGAGCTTGAAGTAGAACTGTCCATGTCCCCTTCGGAGCTCCATATACGGTGGATTCCTCTTGACACGCTGGCCTGCGCAGTTAACGCGTACAAAACTTTCACGATGGTCAAAATCCTTCTTCTCACGCACGGTACACTATACGAGCCTAGATTTAATCGTTAAATATCTCGCTGTGAACATTACTTTTCATCCACGGACGAAAAAATTCATGATGCGGCGATTACAGTGTTAATGAGTTGAATAGAGGACTCGGTTAACGAAGATAATTGAAGACAATTCGGACGCGTTTTGTCCTGCGGTGAGCCACGAATTGAATGTAATTCATTCCAATAAGTGTAACTGGGTGCAATTAAATTCGGGGACTTTTAAACAAGTAAACAACGGGATAGTATGCATCATGAGTTAGCGTATCTGTCCTAATGAATATATTCTCTTTGTTAGCCTCTGAAGCTGGAAATGGTATTATGTATACAATTACAGATGCTACTCCTGAACGTAAATTATAATTATTAACGCGTCAGAGGATAGTTATGTAAGATAGACCTTTCACTTTCTGTTTTAGACTAGTCGCCATCGCACGAATTTGCTCGCTGGATGTTAGAGTTCAGATACAAATTACGATAGCGATAGATTCGATGCATTTGTAACCTTCCCATGTCGTTTCAGTATGGTGGCAGGAATAACGCGAGTTTAGAGGTACTAGTGTTTCCTAGTCTTTCCAAGCTCGATGCAATTGTCGATTCCGA